AAATAAATGTTATTTTCTAGAGCTTGTAATATGATTTCCATTTAGAAAAAGATCGCAAGACGTGGAAAAATTGTTACAGGAGATATTGTAAAAAGTTAAAGCACACGTCTGTAATAAAAAAATTATTTTATTTGCTACGTTTCGAGTATATGCCGTTCATTAGAAACGTTTAGAATTTCCAAAAAACAGCTAAGCATAATGTTTTTCCACGTGTTTGATTATTTCGGTCTTCCGAGCAATTGTGAGGTATACTGTCATCTTTGATGTTTCTCACAATGGTGAGGAATTCTTTAATTCTTGATGTTTCCTAGGATGATTGAGTTTTACTTTTTAAGCTGGTGTTTCACAAGGTGTTGAGGTGTGCTTTCGTTCTTGGTGTTCCAATGATGGTGGCTTTGCTTTCTTAATTTTTCTCAAACTACTGAGGTGTCTTTCATTCTTTGCATTTCCTAGTATGGTGATGTGTGCTCTTATTCTTGGTGATTCCCAAGATATTGAAGTACGTTTTCTGTCTTACTGTTAGAAACTAATATGGTGAGATGTATTTTCATTCTTAGTGTTTCTTAGAATGGTGAGGTCTACTTTCCATCAAGGTGAATCCTAGAATAGCGAGATGTTCTTCTATTTTCTGTTTTGCTTTTCTTGCAAAATGTGCTTTTATTCTTGATGTGTTTTAGAATGGTGAAGTATCCTTTCATTCTTGGTGTTTATCAGGATGGTGAAGTGTCTTTTGTTTCTTGTAACTTTCCGGTATAGTATCATTTTATTCTCACTGTTTTTAGGATCATGAAGTATCCTTTCATTCTCAGTGTTTTTCTGTTTCTCGTTACGTTTTGACGATGTTGAAATATGCTTTTATTCTGGATGTTTTTCTAGAATGATGATAGAGTCTCTTTTTAATCTTGGTGTTTTTCTAGGATAATGATAGGGTCTTGTTTTAAACTTGGTGTTTTTCTAGGATAATGATAGTCTCCTTTTATTCTTGGTGTTTTCCTAGGATGATGATAGGGTCTCATTTTATTCTTGATGTTTTCCTAAGATGATGATAGGGTCTTGTTTTATACTTGGTGTTTTTCTAGGATAATGATAGTCTCCTTTTATTTTTGTTTTTTTTCTAGGATGATGATAGGGTATCGTTTTATTCTTGGTGTTTTCCTAAGATGATGACAGGGTCTTGTTTTATTCTTGGTGTTTTTCTAGGATGATGATAGGGTATCATTTTATTCTTGGTGTTTTCCTAGGATGATGATATGGTCTCATTTTATTATTGATGTTTTCCTAAGATGATGATAGGGTCTTGTTTTATACTTGGTGTTTTTCTAGGATAATGATAGGGTCTCATTTTATTCTTGTTTTTCTAGGATGATGATAGGGTATCGTTTTATTATTGGTGTTTTCTTAGGATGATGATAGGGTCTCCTTTTATTTTTAGTGTTTTTCTAGGATGGTGATAGAGTCTCCTTTTTATACTTGGTGTTTTTCTAAGATGATGATGATAATGTCTCCCTTTATTCTTGGTGTTTTCCTAGGATGATGATAGGGTCATATTTTATTCTTGGTGTTTCCCTAGGATGATGATAGGATCTTGTTTTATACTTGGTGTTTTTTTAGGATGATGATAGGGTATCGTTTTATTCTTGGTGTTTTCCTAGGATGATGATAGAGTCTCATTTTATTCTTAGTGTTTTTCTAGAATGGTGATAGAGTCTCCTTTTAATCTTGGTGTTTTCCTAAGATGATGATAGGGTCTTGTTTTATACTTGATGTTTTTCTAGGATAATGATAGTCTCCTTTTATTCTTGGTGTTTTTCTAGGATGGTGATAGAGTCTCCTTTTTATACATGGTGTTTGTGTAAGATGATGATGATGATGATAAGGTCTCCCTTTATTCTTGGTGTTTTTCTAGGATAGTGATAGTCTCATTTTATTCTTGGTGTTTCCCAGAATTGTGAATTCTGCTTTAATTCTTAGTCCACGCTTATTCAGCCTTGTATTTCTATACTTAGCTTAATTTTGATTGTTTGCATCAGTAAATATATATACAAAGATGAACTTTCAAGTGGCATGCATAGTTTATTCACTTATCAACTATGCACGCTTATTAGATTTTACGTAAACATCTGGTAAAAGGTTAGTGTACACATTTGGATCGGGTCCAGGATATCTATAAACTATGTTTCGTGAGAAAGTTATTTATGTAACACAGAGAAAGTAGTGAATACTTGAAGCTCAGATATACAAAATTCTGATAGGTCCTTGAATTATCTGAACAACGTATTCACTTGCCAAAGAAAGTTAAAGCCACGGGTGCAATCCACCGAAGTGAATCCAGAACATGACGGATACCTATGTAACAGACATTACACCCCCAACCCCCAATAACTCTACAACTATAGGGAATCGTTTCTAAACTTCTAAACATAACTCATAATATCTCACGTGAATAATACCTTTCCCAGCCTTGCGCCCGTGGCTCTAACAAATCAAGATTGGAGTAAGAATATATTATGTCAGTTTCTGGGGAGTCACGCCATATTGACATTTTCCAAGTGTCTTTTTTTGTGTGTGTGTGCATGTGTTGCCCATATGAATTTTATCCAGATACCTAAAGCTAGGGCCGGACGTGGGCTAGGGGTTAGCATGTTTAAACCTGAATCTGAGGGTCCATGGTTTGCGTTCCATTACTGCAAAGTCTTTAGGATCGTGGGTATGTCATAAGCGTAGCAGCTAAATTCCATTATTCGACTAGAAGTTGATGTGTTAGTTAGTTGCCTTCCCTCTAGTCTGTCAGCTCAAAATGAGAAACAGCCAGCACAGATAGCCTTTGTATAGCTTTTCGAGAATATCCGAAAGAAACA